CGTGAAGATTTGAGCGATTTTGACCCCCAATGCACTTAATCAGTGCCTGTGGTGCATCCACCGGAATTGCCTGCATGCTGTTGTATCCGCGATGACTCGCCGCGCGTGCCATCAGCGACATTACCTTAGGCGCAACGGTGAAAAAAAGCCGGTCAGCGGCACTCAAGTGCATCTGAGTTCTTTAGATATACACAAACTCTGTGCGCTGGGATATTTAAAAAAATTGGAAGTACAACAGCCCTCCGCAGCACCACTCGTTCTTATCATCGTCGTTTTAATGCGTTATGTCCATTGCAGAACAAAGACTGTTTCCTGTGCCCTCCACGTATTTTATCCTACGCTGATTCACGATCAACGAAAGACGGATATATTCCCAACATAAGTTTGCTTAACGTTTGGATGGAATTATTGTCAAGTTCGTTGCTACCAACACTTAGACCAGATTCACACGCGTTTCTCTAATATTTGAGTGCGTCCACTTACCAGCCTGCTGATATTGCCAGCCAAGGAAGTTGCCGAAGCTTACTGTTGTGAGGAATTGAATTGGGTGAGACCATCTATCGAGTACCAGCCCTTTTTCTTAGTCATATCGCACCCTCTTACGGCTATGCGGATGGGTGCACTATGAAAGCATTTTTGTTGCTTCAGGTATACCTGTACCGCAATGCAGAATGTCTTTGTGCTGTAAGCTCACAAGTGGGAGCCACATTACCTAGGCGAGGTGTACTGGTTGCCGATGACGCGCCACTTGGCGGCGCGATAATTGTACGTGCTCATGACGTTCGTGGCGCCGTCTGTCCACCCACCGAACACTAAGAGTATGTGCTTGGGAATCCGAGGCGTGAGCCACATCTTATGGGACAGGTCGATACCGGTCACTTCGCCAACCGGCAAAGAGTTTCTGGTCAGCGACTGCATGGAGAAAGCATGTGTTCCATTAGCAAGGGAATCAGGAAAAAAAAGGCTCGTTTTCTTTGTTTACCACAACATTATTGAGAACTAATCAACCATGATGCCAAGAAAGTACACGAAAAGATAACTTGTCACTGGCAGAATCCAACCCTGCAACCTCCGAACAACTCTTACGATGTTCTATTTATACAGAATGGCGTTCCAAAGTAAGACGTCCAAGGAACTAGTTATTTTATGGAGGAACACCACTGTTACATTAGGATGGATGGAACTGCAACGGTAACTCGTTAAATCTACGAAGGAATGGTAGAGGGAATGGCGTTCCTTTTGGAAGCGTTCTATGGCATTCAACAGGTGTACGCACGCATGCGATCATCCAGAATAGGATACACGGACAACCGCGTTAGACGCCAAAATGTACCACTCACCTATCGCATGACTTTGGTGCATCTTGATTTTCAAATTGAAGCGCCAGCCGTGGGCGCAGGGTAACTGAAACGCAGGGCTGGGAAAGACGCCAAGACTGACCCCGTGTGAGAAAAACGGTGCTGATTTTTGACAGCAGAACTGTTATGTTGGAGGCTCGCCACAATCTTGGAAACAAACTTATCATTATAAACCTGAACGCACTTTCCTCTTCATCTTTCCTTTTTTGCTTCATACCTAAGACACGTGGCCTGGTTTGTTCGGCGCCGGAAGCAATAATTCTGATGGACGATAGAACGCGCAAATACATGGGGGAAAAGGAAAAGAAAATTCTCGGCGAAAAAAAATTTCGGTGAGGCTGGATTCGGGACCGTCTATCCATGATCCGAAAGGAATCGTCCTAATAACTCGGTTGTCCACCCATTTATTTTTATTCATAGTAATTATACAACATAGGCTTGGCAGTTTGCAGCAACTCATTACACATAGAGAAATAATATGTTCCTTGCCCTCATATCGTGACTCAACGACCAACATATAGCAGTAAAGTATTCGCATTCACAGAGTCAACACATAAAGCAACGATCATTACCAGTTATACACTATAACCCGACGGTAAAATATCTCACTAATGCAAATATTGTTTTGGCTGGCTTCTTATAAGGTGAGTGACCGTACCCGCCACGGTGGTCTAGTGGCTAAGGCACTCGGCCGCTGACCCGCAGGTCACGGGATCAAATCCTGGCTGTGGCAGCGGCATTTTCAATGAATGTGAAAATGCTTGAGGTCCGTGTGCTCAGATTTCGGTGCACAATAAAGAATTCCAGATTGTCGAAATTTCCGGAGCCCTTCAGTACGGCTTCTCTTATAGGTATATGGTGGTTTTGGCACTTTACACACCACAATTATTTTAATGCCCATCTAATTATTATGTGTTCATCCTTATGAGGTAGTACGTTGAGTAAATTATTGACGGTGCGTTTCTCTGCAACACGCGCACACGCTACAAGTGCGTAGCATAGCCTTGTATTGTAAAGTATAGCAACGGAGAACGAATAGGAAGTGAGGGTGAGCAGGAGAGCAAGGAGAGGGGACAATAAGGATAAGGAAACAGATGGACAAAAAGAAACAAGCACTATATATAAAATATAGAAGAAAAATCATAGAAAAATGAATGAAAGGAAGAAAGAAAAGAATGACAGAGAACGAAATATACTATGTTCGCTGAATGCGAGCAAGGTATAGCTTACTAGGCTAAAAATGTATATCTTAGATATTATTTTCTACATCACTCTGAAATATTCTATCAGAACTTGTTAGACACTTGATTATTGTCTCTTTTCAGGGTGTTTCCTGTTCAACAGACTTAGTTATAGTCGTACACTGGTGGATATTTCTCTAACTGTTTGAAGCGCAGTACCTTGACTGCACCTTTGAAGTCCGTAGTGGGATGTGCCACGCGAGTGACATGAAGTAGGCGAGCACAAAAGTTGCAGTAGAGGCAGTGGCCTCTATTAACTTCGCCGAGGAACGTTTATTAAGATTCCTTGTACACGCGTATAGTCTCCTCGGGCGATGTTAAATTCATAGAAATATATGTAGCTCAATGTAAGCATAAAATTACTGACTAGAATTCACCTCAGCATTACCCGAAACTATATATGTATTGAAAAACCAGATGTACCTTCATGCAAGGACACGTTCCAATTTTTTTAATATACCTGTAACAAGTTACTTTTACAGGATCTTGTTTCAAAATTAGTAAAAAAAACTAGGAACTAGCCTTTGTTACAGTTTGAAGGGGCGTGCCACTGAGCTACGGCGGCGGACATTCCTGCGTCCGATATATTGGGTAGATATGTGCATTTAAACGTGGGCGTGTCAGTCAGCGCCGCCTGTTGTCATTGCGGTGAGTGTGGAGCACTCTTCTTGACTGTTGACGTCACGTAGCGCGCGATATTACTAGCAGTTGGCAGCGTACTGATAATCTTTCGCATAATACCTCAAGGCATGAAGTCTGCCAGAACAAAAAGTGGCTTCTGATAAAAATCTCCTGACAAGGTGCGTTACTCAATAGGGACATTTGTGTCTGAATGAGTGGACTTCAGAGAATTTCTGTCATTTCGCGGTACCCTTACCTACTCACGTTTGAACGTACAAAGAAGGCGTAATCTTCAAATTTATATTGTGCATAAAACCTGTTGCAAATTTGCTGTCATGTTCATGTTGCCTTACAGGGCAACTTAGTAGTAGATACTTTATTTATTTTCAGAATAATACTAGCTTTAAAGGCTGTTAGGAGCAGTAAGGATAAAAAGGTGAAGAAATACGTACTTACTACGCAATCATGGCATGCTCCACACTAAGTAGTCGTCAACAGCAATAATATCATCTGTTATATTGACATGGCTAAAATGTAACCATTATATTCTAAATACAGGTAATACACACATAAAATGAAGAGTATATGCGCTTTATAACATATAAGGTGACTGATGGGACTCGCTCGCTGAATTTCGTGCCGACCGGTTGTGCCCCCGCGATCTCCGACGACAGCGCAGCTCTGGCCGACTGGCTCACCCTACTTCATCTCCTGACGACAAGAGCTCTGGCTGAGTGGTGCCCGGTCCTCGGACTTCTGCGACTGAGTCCATCTCTTTATCTTCTCCTTACTTCCGTATGTGGCTGTCCCTGTGCCTCTCTCTCTTCCTGCTCCTCTCACTCTATATATGCCTTTCATTCGTTTCTATCCTTTTTAATAATCCCCCCTATCCCCATACCCTGACCAGAACTGAGGAGGTGCCCTTCATTGAGAGAGAGGCAGTAACGGAACTGCGCTTATTTTTTTCCTATTTTCCTTCCAAAAGTCATTTATTCTAATACCTAAATGACGTACCATAAAAATCAGAAAGAGACATACAGCTTGAAATATACAAGTAAACATAGACAAAATAATTGAGTAAACCAATGCATATACACAATAATCAAATAAGCCTCAAGTGCGACATGAAATGTGCTGGGATCTTGCATTCCATGACATAGGCTGGGAGCTGGTTCCATTTACTTGCCATTCATGGAGAAAATGTGTTTTGAAATACATCTGCTTGACAAATATATCGTCACTTAGTTTTTTGAGTGACGAGAGCATGGGATTCGCTTACTTACAGGTTTAATGAAATTAACCTTTTATATTTCTTTTTATGGTGGCGATTTCGTTTAGCTACTTTTGCTTTCCGTGTGACGCCGCAATTCTAGGCATTTCAATTCAGCCCTTTCCATTAGCGTGCTTACCGACGTCTGCCAGCGGTACACATAAAAGGCAATGTGTTCAGATTTCCTTTGAACCCTTTCCAAGTGAACAATAATCTCTTTCGTGTGAGGCCCCATACTATCGATGCGTATTCGATGATTGGTCACCTCATCACGATGACTGGTCCCTCTATTCACCTCATCGCCGCAAGATGGCGCTTCAGCAGAGTTTGATTTTTGAATGAGTTGCATCATTACCAACCAACTCTATATATATCTGATGTGATGATTGCACACGAACAATGGATTTAGGAATTTGGAATTAGACTTTATTCTAATATTCCGAAGCACCATGATTGTGGCTCCCGCTAATTACATTTAGTGGCATGAAGCAAGCATACCACGGCCTTTGAAATATGCATGGGCTGGAGCACCTGTTGAGCGTAATTGAAGGGTTGTAGGTCACTTCTCGGTTGCACTTCGCAAGTTTCAGACAGAAAAAAACGCAAATAAAAAGGAAATCAAAAACTGCATTTTAGTCGAGTTTTGAAATAGTTTGTTTGACTTTCTTAAAATCGCACAAAACACAACGGACACTTAAAACGTCCAATGAAGGCGTACATGTACGTCACGATAACAAAGGAAGAGCCCGGTATGCAGAGTATTAGTGGCTGACCTGGTGGATCACGCTCAACACCTTTGTGCTGTCTCTGTCACCTTGTACTTGTGGATTTGTCACGACCTTTTCGAGCTCTCTGTAACGAGACGTAAATGACGTTAGATACAGCGTCCACGTTGTCTGACACTGCACGCGTCATACGTGAAGAATAAACTGACCACGGCTTCACGCAAAACACAGTGAAAACGAGAGTAAGTACTTTTCTGCTGTCTTCATTTCTCACCGTTCAAAGCGTTATTCGGTGCCGTTCTAATAACGTAGCTGCCAACTCAGCCCCGACCAGCTTCGCAACAAGTACAAATGACTCCCCACGATTGAAATACAAGTCTGCTAGCTCAAGAACTCCGGTCGCAGACAGCTGAAGTAATCAAATAGGCTAAATGCACTTCAAAACCTAATGTCCAGCGGTCACAAGGAATCTGTGAAATGAAGGTTTCTGATTACTATATACTACAAACACGATATATACCATTTCTTGTGCATCGTTCTGGGTAATACTCGAGACGACCATACCGTGCAAGACAATGCAATGCTTATCAGGTCTCACCTAGTTACTGTCTGTGTGTAAGCAAACATGACGACAGATGCCATCTAGTCCAAATCATTACCGCTATACACTGACGCGCCAATAATTGTGATGACGAGTTTCGATACGCGCTAATTCAGAAATATTATGCTCGCTGGCGCTCCGTTAAAGTGCATGCATACGCCGATGACCAGCGTTGATGGGTGTTTTGCGCCACTCACGTGGCGCTGCACCATCTGAGGCGAACTAGAGGGAGGAACCTCGCGAGGTATTCCTTCCTCGTGGCCATGTCAGCAGAGGTCCACTTAAGAAGGGCGTTAAATGCGTCCATCTCACTCGGTACGTGCATCCGGTTATCCTCCAAGATCGCGCGCATCTCCTCGGGTGTAAGGGCCTCGAACTGGGTACTGTTCTTCCACACCTGCACCAATATTGGACACATCTGGATAGGTTACTTAAAGATATACTCATATTTTGTCCGTGACACAATCAACTGCAGCGCTAGAGGCAAATGATGATGTGTTTGACTGACGGTGTCGAACATGGAAGTGTCATGCTGTTCAAACAAAAGATCACACACGTGAGCCAGCTAAGGCCTCTATTGCCAACTTGATGTACCGTCACGATAAAAAGAAATGCGCAGAATCCGTGTATTTCGGCACAGTGGACTTCTGATATAACTTGAGGAACTGTGCTTTCAGCCAGCGCCACCGTATATACCTTTAGGATCTTGCTCTGGATGAACCTATCGAACTGCGTGCGATGTAGTTTACAAGTCATGACTGACACTTGGAAAACACATGTGGTGCAATATTGACAGCCAGAAAACGATTGTAGCGCTATTGTAGCAACCGAGTACCTCAGCTACTAGACCACCATGGCGGGGCTTTTTGCACTCGTCGGTTTCGCTCATATTACCATGGCTCATTCCATAAAACATTTACTCGCCTTCAATCGGAGCGTCTCTCTGCGGCTGTCTCCATCTGCTCCCCATTAAAATTGATAAATGCGCTTCCCATATAAAACCGAAAATTATCGCTTCTTTTTTCTCAGTGGTTGTCATTGGGACTGTAGTAAAGCTGGTACAGTGGTAAACTTGTGCAAACCAACGACGACACAGGAAGACCCAAACGCCACTGCCTTAGGCGTGTTCTGTTTTGAGACTGCATATTTTTGTTCGTGTTGCATCTGCAGAAAGTCGCTTGCCTGCAAGCTGAGCGGTACGATGACTCTGCTCCTTTTTACGTGATTCGCCATAGCGGCACGCTAAGGCAACAATCAGAGCGGAGCATCGCAAAAATATTAGGAATATTCGGCGCTTGTCTATTATTTGGGACATTAAACATGTCATAACTAAGAGTCATGGTACGAAAGTAGAAAGAAGACTGCGAGGCACATGCGTTCCAAATGGCGCGAGCGTGCGCACCGTAAGGTGATGTTCGAGGCACGTGACCCGAGCTGGGATCCGTATGGAAGCAGCGACGAGCGGGAATTGCCGACGTAGACTTGCAAAAGGAGGGTTGTCCCACCAGCCAGCACACTGGTGATGGACCCGGCAAGACTTAAAAAGGTAGTGTGTGACGCGGGCGTCCCAAGAGGTGGCCAGACAGACCTCAACGTGATTCGATTGAGGCTGCTCCGGATGTAGCGACCGCGCACAGGAATCACAGACGTTGTGACACAAACCCTCTTCGAAGCAAGCCACCGACTGACAGAATGACAGAAAAACTTTATTAGCAAGTTTGTTTGGACCTACCGGGCTCCCTGGACCACCGCGCAATCCCACACTACGTCTACAGGGTCATGCCTCTCGTCGCAATGACATCGGCTGCTCTAGTCACCACAGCAAGATGCAACGCCGGGTCCCCAGACGAGAGCAGGACCTCCCAGTCTCTCTAGCTTGAGATGGCAGGCTGTCCCAGGGGGGGGGGGGGGGAGGATCAGCAGGGCAGCCGAATACGATGTGGGAAAGAGTGGCGTGAGGTTCACCGCAGAGGGAAAATTCTGGGTAAGTGCCACAGTAGAGGGCAGCAGCTGAGGGAAAGAAAGAGTGCGAGTTTGGTGACCTATCCATAAATGTTTTTTTTTGGGGGGGGGGGGTGTAAGGGAGGAATTCGGAGTACTGTAGATCTCACGGTTCAAACGGGGTATTTGAACCGTTGGACCTACTCTCCTTGACAGTCCCCCATGGACCCGCCACCTCGTAGCATTGGTTGTCACCGAACGCCACTAGCCACTAGGCCTAACCTTGCAGGCATCATTACATCAGCAACGACATCACGCGATGACCACGAACAACGGCTTCAGCGACAGCGAGGTTCTTCGAAAGCGTCCAAAGCATCGAAAGGGAGGCAACGCCACAGATCTCTGGTATTGATGAGCAGCAAATCGGGTGGGTCAAGTAAGGTTGGCGCGAATCGTTAACGAAAACTTGCGTAACAAGGACTGTTAAGTTAGTGCAATTTGGTTGTTTTTTACAGTTTAGTTTTTAGTTTGTTTTATAGAATTTATTTATATGTTACAGTTAGCTGTGTGTGTTCAATGTGTTGTGCTGTTAAGCGTGTCTTGTCTCAGTTCGTATTAGAAAATGCGTGCAAATGGAGTATACTTAGCAAGTATGAATATACTGGGCTCGATAAATTAATTTCCCCTGTGTTCGTATTTGTAGCTGCTGGTGTCCATGATCGTGTGAGTTATTACACTTTATATTTTCAAGTTGAAAGGAGGCATGAGATGTTTTTTTGTACAGAGATAGCCGTTGCTGATTCGCTCGAGAGAATTCGTCTATAGGCAGTGTTCGTTAAATGAATATGGGACAGCACTGCGGCTCAATGACATGTTTCAAAATGCGGCCAGCATTTCTATGGAGAAACATGGCAGAGCGCGAACCATTCAGCAGGTAAATCTACAAAAGAACACAGCAGATATATTAAATGCGAAGCATTTCTTAGGAAATTTACGCGACTGAGCATATCTATCTATCTATCTATCTATCTATCTATCTATCTATCTATCTATCTATCTATCTATCTATCTATCTATCTATCTATCTATCCGGCCGTCCGTCCGTCCGTCCGTCCGTCCGTCCGTCCGTCCGTCCGTCCGTCCGTCCATCCATCCATCCATCCATCCATCCATCCATCCATCCATCCATCCATCCATCCAACCATCCATCCATCCATCCATCCATCCATCTATCTATCTATCTATCTATCTATCTATCTATCTATCTATCTATCTATCTATCTATCTATCTATCTATCTATCTATCTATCTATCTATCCGGCCGTCCGTCCGTCCGTCCATCCATCCATCCATCCATCCATCCATCCATCCATCCATCCATCCATCCATCCATCCATCCATCCATCCATCCATCCATCCATCCATCATCTATCTATCTATCTATCTATCTATCTATCTATCTATCTATCTATCTATCTATCTATCTATCTATCTATCTATCTATCTATCTATCTATCTATCTATCTATCTATCTATCTATCTATCTATCTATCTATCTATCTATCTATCTATCTATCTATCTATCTATCTATCTATCTATCTATCTATCTATCTATCTATCTATCTATCTATCTATCTATCTATCTATCTATCTATCTATCTATCTATCTATCTATCTATCTATCTATCTATCTATCTATCTATCTATCTATCTATCTATGTACTCCCGTGGCTGTTTCGTTAACTTTCTGTACATCAAATTGGTATGGCGTGACAATAGTGTATGCTGAACATAAGTGGCAGGTCACGGTATGAAAATTATTACGCGCATGTCACGTACAGCACCGGCACAGCATGACAGCTTCAAACTTAATCATCCTGACACGTGCGTCATGTAAGAACATGAAAACATACCACGCTTATAGCGTTCTCGCGGCCGTTTCGTTAGCTCCACATATACTAAATTTGGTATCACGCAACGTGAATAGATGACGAAGGCAAACGACACATCCAAACATGAAAATCATGACACTGAAGACATACGTGGCATCATTTACCTCCCCCTCATAACGTTGTGCAGATTTTAAACTGACATATCAACATTTTTTATTCCTGCTTCGCATATCATCGATTACTACTGCACGTGGGATTTGTCAATTTTTTATCTGTTTTTCGGAGAGTTAAGAAAGCCAACATGCCTTAACAGGAGCCAGTAGCTAGAGGTGGCGGCTGCCTGTAGCCGATAGCTGGCCGATCAAGCGCCTCTTACAACAATGTATTAAATCAACACTTCTGTATTGCCATCTCTCGCCCTTGATTCATATATGTTTCGCGAATAGCCACTAGGGTATTCGAATAGAACTTTCTGTTGGGCTAGTTGGTGCATGTTTAGTGTAAGGAATAAGTCGCCAACGAGACGAACACAAAAAGTGAGACGGACAAACGCCACGGCGTTCACCCATACTACTTGTTGTGTTCGTCTCGCTAACGCGTTATTGCTTCCGTTATCCCCTGAGAATCTATGAGCAGTGTTCGGACAAAAAAAAAAAAAAAAACATCGCTAGAACCAAAGTTTCAACAAGAAGTTATTATTGCATTTGCAAACGCATTTCTGTCGAGCTTACTACCACGGTATCAGGAATGAAAGAATGCGAAAATTCGTTATTTTTCTGTCTACTTTGAAGTTCGTACTTTCATCAGGTAATAAGTTGTTGCGGGTAATTCAAGTCCATGCGCACGTACCTGGTCGAAGTTTCGAAGCAGGTAGCGAAAAGCTTCATTGGCAAGGTGGTTGTAGCCGCGACTGGACACCAGGTGGTAATTGTCTATGCAGCTCTCCGGCTTGTTGTCGCGCTTGAGGAAGTTCACGCAGTGATTGAGTAGGTGGCTTAGCTGCACCGTTCAAACCACACCAGATGAATACTGTGTGGTGTAGTGCATTTTAATGAGGAGTTTTTATACTCCAAAACTCAAATAATGATTACGAAATTACGAGGCATTTCACGCAGTGGCAGATTGGATGAACTTTGATCGTCAGGTTTCTTTCGCATGCGCATGCATTTATGTACACGGCCGTTCTTCCAACCCCTTCAATGAAGATTTTGGTACCCCTTAAGCTTGAACTTCATGAGTGGAACCCAAAAGCATTATATGTCTACGTTCTTATGGCCTTCCGATTCGCCTGCCATGCTTGGCTACTCGGCAAGCAATTGAACCACGCCACTGAGACAGGAGCCTTCGTGCTGACTACATTCGACGTTTGAAACTTTCCCATGGGATATACTGCAAGTAGAAGTGCCGATTTCTCAGCACACCGTATTGCATAAAGCGAGGCAACGAAGTGCCCACTTTTCTTCTGTAATGCAATACATGCACCACGTAACTGCACAATCTTTGTTGATGCTGTTGATGACTATGATGAAAAAGAATTACGTCTCGAACCTAGACTGACCTGTAGCATTTCGGCGAGATTGAGCACCTCTCCGATGTTGTGCTGTCCTACAAGTTCAAGCAGGGGAATGTGGTAGGCGACGTCGATCAGTAGCCGTATCATGTCGCTACCAAGGTCTGTGACCACAATTTGCATGAGTGGCAGCCACTTCTCTTCGGGACTCAGGCCTTCCTTTGCCAGAGCGAAGAGCGCGTAGCAGCCCGAATACCTGTGCGTGATGTCACCATTAGTGCTGCCACTAAACGCAGTCCCCCCCCCCCCCCCCAGCAGAAAAAAGAAAGAACGGACTAGGATTAGCCGGATCATGTTCTTGCACAATGCAAATTTTCTTTACCTGATTGGTTTTACTCAACACTCAGAGCGTCTTCCTGTTGTTCCTCTCCCTCGAATTTCCGCAAAGGGTACAGTGTCCATTTCGTCGGTGATTATTTCTTGCAAAACTCGTATCGAATTCTTTGTAAGGAGAAAAACTGATATGTCACCAGAGTCAGGGGTCGTTAAGATATTCGGCGAGACTTGGTGATACCTCGAGAGGTTGGCGGCCGATGGGTTCAACCCTAATAATAAAAAAAGTAAGAAATGACGTCGAAAATCCATTTGCGGAGTTGCCACTTGTGCTGATAATACACATATTCGGGTTCCTTTTTTCATCGATTCGGTTGTAAACTTTCGCAGTCACTTGTCATGTTTTTTAGGGCAGTGGAACAATATGCGATTTTCTAAAAACGTTGCTGTTTCAATGATCAGCACTTCGTTGCGGATCCTGAAACAGCTTGTGTCGGCGATAGGGGAAATGTTAACTATGTGACTACAAACATCACGTTTGTGGTTAACAAGTTATTGCAGTATTATGGCGACGACCTCACCAACGAAATTTCAAAGGGACCATATGCATGCGAAAGTAAACCTGGTTTCTATAGGGAACCAAAGTTAAAATTTGCGTAGCGATGACAACTCCACGCCGGTTGCTGGCGACAAGCTCCGCGAAAATTGAGGATAGGCGCGGCAGAGGACGCAGGCAACTTTGTGTGTTTCGCCGAAGCGGGAGGGCGGGCGACATGCGCAGAACGCGTTCCGTAGTCGGTACGGGAAACTTCGGCGCGCCGTGACGCCCTACAGGAAGCTGTGTCTGTGGTACGAGACTATGCTGCTGCCGGCAGCCTTACGTGCTCAGTGGATAAGTCGGAGTTGTTATTGGTATACAAGCGGCGCCGCAAAACCGCTGATTCTCCTGACATTTCGCTGTTTTTTGATGGCCATCCTATCCCTCTGGTACCACGAATTCGTATTTTAGGCATCTACCTTACGTCCGACGGCAAGGCCTCGTACACTACACACCTTCTGGCTCAGCAGATAACTCAAATTACACACACGATCCAACGCATCACCAATCGCAGGAGAGGCCTCTGTGAGAAGGATGTCCTCCGCTTAGTACAAGCACTCATAGTTAGTCGGCTCACCTATCATCTTCCCTTTCACAATCTCACTCTAGCTCAAATAAAAAAGATGGACATCCTTGTACGGACAGCTGTGAAGGCGGCTATCGGCTTGCCTCCACACGCATCTACACAACGCCTCCTTCAATTAGGAGTCCACAACACCATAACCGAGCTCATCGAGGCCCAGCACAACAGTCAGCTCCAACGGCTCAAGCAGACCCGTCAGGGCTGCGCTATCCTGTCTCGTCTTGGCTACCCGATTCCTCAAAAATCCGCACAAGTACCGCGACATAAACTTGCGTCTACTGTCCGCGCTCTCATCAAAGTGCCTCCGATTCCACGCAATATGAATCCCTCCCGCCACGCCAGTCGTCGACGTGCCCGAGTTCAGGCTATGACACGCGTCTTTGGTGATGGTACATCAGACTTACAAGTACTTTACACTGATGCAGCACGCTACCCAGAGAAGTCAGTCATGTGTTTAGCCGTGACAGATGACACAGACGCCCTTGTGGCGTCTGCCACACTTCGCACTACAGACAGTGGTCTGGCAGAGGAGGGAGCTTTCGCTCTGGCAATTGTTCACGCTACAACACTGTCACATGACTCCCCTATCACTATTGTAACAGATTCACAAGCTGCTTGCCATGCTTTCGATCAAGGACTTGTGGCTGCACATACACACAATATCCTCTCTTCTGTCTCACCGTCCACATTACGTCCTGTGCGTATCGTCTGGACTCCTGGACACGCCTCTCTCCATGGTAATGAACGCGTTCACACGGTTGCCCGAGAGCTGACCGGCCGGACTCCATTGGAAGAGCTGTCCGATCCAGACGACGCATCGACAGAACCACTAAACTACAAGGCTACGCTGCAGTACTATCGACAGAGCCGTTATACGTACCCTCCCCCTCATCCTTCACTTAACAGAGCAGATGCTGTCGCTTGGCGGCAACTACAGACCAATTCATTTCCTTGCCTTTATATGCTAAATCGCTTTCATCCGACTCTCTACCCCTCCTACTGCCCCTTCTGTGGATCCGTACCGACGGTGTACCACTCCACGTGGGAATGCTCTGCCCCACAGGGCGTGCTTTCCATTCCTAATCCCACCCCTTCCTCTTAGGAGTCTGCACTGCTCAGCTTACGCCGGCAGGAACAGCAGCAGCTGGTCCAGCGGGCTCGCAGGCTCGCGCAAGGCAATGGAGCCCTGGACTGAGGGCCCCACCCAAAGAAGGCTCAGTGTGCATTTGTTATTAATAAATGTTTATTCTCTCTCTCTCTCTCTCTCGGCGCCGTGCCGTCAGCTTGGGGCGCTAGAATGAGAATCTCGTTGTGCGAAGTTGCCTTCCCGTGATGGAACAAGCCAAGCCATGGAAGCGCCAGCGAGGTCTGAGATATCGTGGTGTCGTGGACTGCCACACCAGTGTAGAAAATACCAAGGGATGCTCTCCACGTGTAAAGCTGTATCCATTCCCTGGAAAGTCATGTCGGGGAACCAAACACTGAGCCGCGTTCGCGAAAGATAAATCAAACATAAAACAAGAGCCGGAAAAAGTTATGGACCATCTTTCTGAAGGCAACCCTGAAGGAATCTGAAGCAGCAGCGGTGCTCATGTCATTGACCCCGTTGAAATGGGCGTGGACCCGGGTGCTGAAAGAATGGTTTGAAGTGAAACTCGGTTTAGCGTTTACTCGAGTGAATATTTGTTTGAAACGCCAAAACACGGGAGGCGGGTTGGATTTTCTGTAAGTCGTCGCAAAAAGACTGTTCGCTCGATGCGCGCTCGAACATTGCTGGCGGTGGAGAGAGAGAAGCGAGAGAGATGACACGCGGTGAGCGGCGACAGGCATGCGAGAGAGTGACATCAACGCGTGCATTGCGAGAAATGCGTGACCTACTTGGCACCGCCCCAACATCTGTGGCCAGGGGAGCACGGTGCGGATGGAGGTACAGCGTTACACAGGTTATTCAAAGAGCTGCTTTGCATCTAAACATGAGGCGAGCACTTTAAAGTGGCGCACAGTGGTTAACGCTGAAATTGCTGCCTCTCGGTGAAGTCGGCGTGTCGTGTTCCCGTGGCACGGAGGACATGACTCTAAAAGTCTCGGAAAGTTTTGATGCCATGACCATACAAGTTCCGTTTTTATGTGTTTTTAGCACGTCGCAAACGTTTGCACACAACAGTACGCGGCTGCTATTGATAGATACCACATTCAAACAACAATTATAAGATTTAACGAAGCAAATTGATAGAGTACGCGGCTTCTTGTCGACACAATGAGACTTGCGTCGAGTCAAACGTCGTACATGGTATTGTCAGGGGAGACCTGAGAAATGCATTATTGCAGTGACTCGGACATTCTCGTCTTCCATCATCTACTCAACAACAAAAACGTCACTAACGAGTTTTTAAACTCTTTTTGTTAAATTAGCTTTTCGGAAGTGCTTGTCCAGCTTGAGGCGTCATCCAATGGCGGATTTGAAGTGGCTCACGAACTCTCCGTCGGAGCACTGCGCTTTGGCGGAGGGTAACAGAAGAAAATCTATTACTGCAAAACACGCTATTGACGGTTTTAAAATTGCAAGCGTTCAGCACCAACAAAAAAAAACTTCTGGTCACCTTCTGATCACCTCATGTATTACGGCACGCGAACAGGTGCCTTGTATTAGCAAGCCCACCGTGGTTTTGTCCGAGAAGGAACGCAAGTTCCTCGAAGGTTTCGGTGCGGGCCGGTAGTTATATTATCTTTACTTTTCTGTTTCGTTTTCTTCTAGATTTTTCTTTGCTGTTTTTCAGTGCTTTTGTTTTTGTGTTGTTTGTTTTTGTTTTTCTTACTCATGTTCTGCTCTTTGTGCCATATGGTTTTTATCACATGGTTACTGTCTCCTCTATATATTTTTGTGCTCTGGGCAATAAACTCAGTTGAAAGTTAGCGCTCGTGTCTTTCGCGTCCTTCTTGTCTCTGTGTCGTCGGCTTGTTCTCGCGCTATAACTATCGTCTCTGTAGGAGTCCAGTGGCATTTTTAATATAACCAAAACACTTTAAAGAATCGCAAGTTCTATAAAATTTTTGCTTCTGTAGGGCTGTTTCAGGAAGTCGAGCTGCACGTCCTGGCCTTTTTTTGGGGGGGGGGGGGGAAGGATAATTATTTGCTTGTTAGCTCAGTAGCGTCAGACAACTCTGGTTGCTTGATGGTGAATCAAAGAACACGTGTTCGTCAGCGTACCACAATAGGCAAAAACTCGGTGTGAAACGATGCCATCATTGACATTACGAGCCATAGAAATTAGTGACATCACCAGGCTGTCTTCTGATGAAGAAGGCGCGACACCGTCACTTGGTTCCAGCTGTGCCGGAGGCAGTTCAGAATCACAAGACATGGGTGCGGGCATGATTCTTAGTGCAATATATCAGAAAACAAACCAGTTTGCTATCACCTTCTATCCGTCTTTTTTTTAATGCATAACAGACGGGGTGACTTTTTAAGGCATAGGCTACAAGACGAAACGAATCGTACTCTCGCAGCTCACCTAGACCTAGAACAAACAGAAAGTAATCTTGAAAAACCAGAAGTAGCAGAAAGTGAATGTGAGAATATACAAGGTTAGTCAAAAGTTCCCAGATCATTATCCTATGCATTCTTATGGCAGCGTGGGTTGGAAATTTTCGGACACCTCTGTACCTTTTAGGATGACACGGCGCATACGCCAATTCAATATTGGAAAGATCACGCAGTGTCTTTTAATATCTGCGGCTTTTTTAATGAAAACTAATTGTATTTCAGCTTACCTTTTTTGGCACCTGGTGCCACCTTCTGGGGAAGGAAACCTGGGAACACTTTGATTGATATGTGGGGTTTAACGTCCCAAACCCACAATTTGATTATGAGAGACGCCGTAGTGGAGGGCTCCGGAAATTTAGACCACCTCCTGGGAACACTTTATACGAACATTTTTTAACCCGACGTTTCCGAGAAATTAATCAATTAACCCACCCGTCCGTCTAATCTATCTATCTATCTATCTATCTATCTATCTATCTATCTATCTATCTATCTATCTATCTATCTATCTATCTATCTATCTATCTATCTATCTATCTATCTATCTATCTATCTATCTATCTATCTATCTATCTATCTATCTATCTATCTATCTATCTATCTATCTATCTATCTATCTGTCTGTCTGTCTGTCTGTCTGTCTGTCTGTCTGTCTGTCTGTCTGTCTGTCTGTCTGTCTGTCTGTCTGTCTGTCTGTCTGTCTGTCTGTCTGTCTGTCTGTCTGTCTGTCTGTCTGTCTGTCTGTCTGTCTGTCTGTCTATCTATCTATCTATCTATCTATCTATCTATCTATCTATCTATCTATCTATCTATCTATCTATCTATCTATCTATCTATCTATCTATCTATCTATCTATCTATCTATCTATCTATCTATATTGTGATACCGTAACAGCTGTAATATGCACACACTCAGGTGCATCTCGCCTCTCTGGTTGAGTATTTGATTGATTTGAACTAACATGCAGTTGCAGATACACTTTGATGCAATACAGTTTCCCCCGGTGGGCTGTAACTGGAAATGATAGCAAGATGTGTGCTTTACCGTAGGTGCGCACCTGACCGTCACTCTGAAATGCCATAATGCAACTTAGGTGCAACCACGACGAAATTACTCACGCTATTTTAATAACTATTTTTTTTAAGTTTCAGAAGCGATAAATCTGGAAAGGTTTACAATAAAAGAGTCACCTTAGTAGTGATAACCTGGCACTGACTATTACAATCAGGGAGAGGGTTAAGTTGGACACTTCAGTGCTGTTCTTCCTGTCTTGTGTAGCTTGTTCATGTCACCTTTCCGAGATGGTGCCTTTAGTGCTAACCTTGTTTTAGAAAAGGTAGTAATAAGCAGCCTGACCTGCTGCCAACTGATATGTGAAAAGCTATATTTTACTAATAGGCCTAACGTACATACAGGAATATAAAAATACTTTGCTCATCTATTCCAAAGTTGTATATGTATGAGGAAATTTCTTTGAACGCGAACATTTTATTTCTGCCAACGCAAAGCATGCACGTATCGGAGCACATATATTGCTAACTACTATCTAAATTATTGAACTTCTAATGCCAGGATATCTCGCAAAAGTTTGTTTTTAATCCAAACGCAGTGACTTTATTTCACGTACTTGAACGACAAAGCCAGCCAAGAACGCATGATAACGGAAATAGCCGAATGTAACCATGATAAAGGTATTTTGACAAATTGTATTTAAATGGGACCCACAGGCGTAGTTTTCTGATACTTTTCAGTAGAGTGCACGCGTCCGTGAAAGTCATTAATCACGCAGTGCGCGAGAACAAAGCGCAAGTGCGTCCTGTAATTTTTTTCGTCAGCTGAGGACACACCATCCACACTGCACGACGGTAGAAGTGACCCAAATGACGACGCACAGGGGACGGCGGAAGAGTTATGATGAAGGAGTCAATGACAGCTTATAAGTAGGTGTGCATTGAGAACACAGATCAAGAAAATTGCTGAGGCGAAAGCGAAATAAGTTTTTGTAAGAAAACTTTGTTTCTAGTTGCGCTGGTTTCATTGCAGATGTATGAGATAAGTCCAAAATAATATTCGTTAATTGGTGGGGGGTGGCGGTGAGACGTGCTAAACATAGACACGAGAGAAAAACCAAACGACGGAACGGTATCGGTGTTATCTGGTTTACTCCTTTTGCGTACGTGTCTGCACACGTTACCTCATTAAGAATTCATACAGCCAAGCTCAGTAAGCTCTCGTTATAAGCTATGCAAAGAGAATGAATTCAGCCGGCAAGAAAGGATGTGGGAGTTTTTGGCTCGGATGGAGGACCAAAAAAAGATGCGAGGCTTAGCCCCCTGTCGACCACGAAGTACCAAGAATTAGATGGGCGCCACTGCCTTCCCACCGCTCCCTTTCCCTCTGAATTAACGCATCTTGCTACTAAGAAAGGGATGCCTAAAGGACGTACTAAACGTGTTTGCTCAGGTGGCAACTGGCTATGCAGTGCATTTATGTAATGTTCGCACCTAATTTAAATGGTTCCCATGGCAAAGTGCTCCACACGGACAACACCGATACTGTGCGAGAAGGTCACCGTGTTTACCTGGCAGCTACCACAAACCGATGCGCCCAGACTTCAGAGCCGTCACGAGCCAGGAAGACGACGTCGCAAAACTCTCGGTTCTTCCGTTGTTCCCGCAATGCAGGCATGGACCTAGCAGCCGCTCCAGGCGCGAAGTCACGCCGCTCGCCAGTGTCCTTGAAGAGGTGAGCCGCTTCTGACCAGATTGTGGTGATGTCCCCGCTACCGGGCTCGCCCGGTGCAGGGTCGTTGGCGGGGTTCATGGCTATGGCCGCGGCGCACATCTCTTGGCTGCCAGGAAGGCTAGGTGGCCAGTGCAGGGTGATGGTCAAGGGCAAGCGCCGCCTTAGCCAGACCACACGCCTTCGCACCCTCCAATCGATTAAACGTTCTACCGTAAGACGGCGCGAACACCCGCGAATGGTTGCGTGGATTATAATGATGATGATACTTGGATCATTGGCACCTACCCACTAATGAGTTTGTTTACAAGAGTCGGGAGGATCCTAGGGTATGAATTTCCAGCGCGATATGGTTAAAGAGCTCGTTTTACAGAAATTTCGGCGCCGCGTGGGTGTTGTTGTTTCTGAGCGAAAAATTATCGCCTTGTTCATGACCGGAAAATGAAGAAAGATCCATAGAGAACAAATAATACAAATTTCTGGCTTCGAGCGACGATCGAACAAAGGCCGCCGGCGTGAAAGGCAGACGTTCTATCACAGGGTCCCTAGATTTGCTGTTTTTTTTGAAGCTGCTTTGTGAAAATTGGAGGGCCCTTAAGCTTCAACTTTACCAGTTTAAGGCAATAGTGATATACTGTACCTGGTGCGTACTTCAACTACGTAGTGCTCACTTTTTCTTACGCGATGGTAGTCTAGAAGTTTGAATTTTGGATTACTACAGTGTAGCTGATAAAGTTTAAGGTGGCTTCAGTCAATAAAACTTTTGCATATGGCTGCATTTTGTCTAATGAGTAGCATGCATTGAAGCACGAGCAATGAGGCGTATGAAATGTTTTCGAATTCAGTATGCACCCACTAGGTGGTGTTGCACCTGCGAGTCTACATCGAACATCAATGCCTATGAAAAAGGCAATCTGTGTCAAGGCCAGCAATCGAGCCCGCCTGACGCGACCATCTCAACGACGTCATCAAGTGGCGGCGCCGGTCTGTCACGCAACGCACCGCGAGCTCCCTCAGCCCGGGAGCTGGTTGAAGTTATCGGCGCCTTCCAGTCTGGCGAGTCTTACGCAAAGCGTGGGAACGTCACTCGTCCTTGGCTGCAACCACTTGCAGAAATCGGCGCCTTCGAGTCTTGCGAGTCTTACGCAATGCGTGGCGACAACCCTCGTCCTTGGTGCAACCACGCACAGCGGCGGGCCCCATTTGAGGATTCCGACATCACGGCCAGCAACGCTTCTGATTGGACATTTAGTTACTCAAAGGATCCACGCAGTGCCTGTAAAAAAAGCCCTGCGGCACGTCGTCAGCAGTAGACCTATGTGTCAGAGAAGACAGCTCGGCTCTTCGAGTCTCTAAGCTGTTGGCCCCAGCGCCGAACTGGTAACACCTCTATTTTTTTGCTGTACATAAACTTTTCCTTAACTCACCGTCATCTCGTCCGCTCGTCTATCAACTCTGCACAGTAGCAGTTGCAAGCTGTGTAACACACGCTACCAAACGGCTGGTCACTATGTCGGCGGAGTTCAGAGCAGTGGCACCTTCGGGACCGTGTTGGCTTCGCCGTCTTCATAACAGTGGTTACGCACAGTAACGAGTGTGCCTTTCTTGATAGGTGGCTGGCTTTAAACCACGAAGTCATTATCACAATCACCTGTTATGACGCCCCATGGCGATTTACGCTTGTGTCACGCAATATTGCTGCGATATTAAATGTTCTGATCTCAAGCCCGCATACCATTACCACTATTCCTCGAGAGGAATTTATGTAACAGCTGCATGTTACATTTCTGTATATTCTTTTATCGCTCTTTTATTCCTTCTCTACTGAAATCTCTCAGCCCTCTTCCCCATCCCTATACAGAGTAGCATGCCAGCGATATATAGACGCCGGCAAAAATGTCTGTTTTTCCAACAGTATCTCTCACTGTTAATTAACAGGATTTATTCATAGTTCTGTGTTTCTGGAACATACGATAAAGGCCGAGACATCATAGATCTTGCTCATATGCTCTGGTCTTGCTCCGCGTTGCGCAGCGACAAGCGGAATACTGAAGAACGATGGGACGCAGCTTGGCGTAGTACTACATTAGAGGGACAATTATGAGGTAGTCCAATGGGTCCGCAAAGCGGCTCAAAGGCTAGGTCTTTCGGTCCCAACGTGGGAGGGGCCTTTTGGACTTGGACACGACTTATTGCACCTAATAGAGTTCTTTCATTCATCAATACATCCATCTCTCTCTCCCTCTTACCGGTACTTATCTAGGGAGCGAAAACTGGGAGACTTGCAAGGTGGGTTCAGGCTAAATTAAGGAGGACGTCGCGAGTAAGGGACAAGAAGATGATAGATGTAACCTAGCTTATGAAACAGGAAGAAAGCAGAGTGAATCAGGCGACAAAGGGGTGTTAATATATCATCGTAGAAATCAAAAAGAAGAAATGAACATGGGCTACAGGCAGGTAGCGCGTAGGCCTGATAACCGCTTGTCATTAGGGGAACTGACTGGATTCCAAGAGACGGCACACGCGTGCGAGGAGGAGAGAAAATTAGGTGGGCAGATGAGATTAAGAGGACTGCCAGCTGGGCATGTTCGTACAGGTTCATGATGAAACAAGTGCGGGTACCTACGAAGACTTAGAAAGGACGCTCTGTCCAGTATCCTTTCTAAGCCTTCACACATTTTGGCGCTCATTTCATCGTGAAACTGAAAAAAAGGGCAGGTGCGACGGGGCAGCAGAAAACACAGGACCAGGTTATTTGGCGGAACATGGGAGAGGCCTTTGCCCTGCAGTGGGTGTGTTTGAGCTGTCGATGATGATTATGGTGCGAACTCAATAACTGTGCTTGCGATAGACATTAAATTATACTTCGAAGTGGCCAATCTTGCGTCGTTTCCGTACGATGCGGCCGCGGCATGAACCGAGAACTGAAGGTGGCTAGCTGTTTAGAAGACATTGCGTACGAGGCTTGATAACCCTGTCGAGATTTTCTGTTGAACGCCAAGCTCAAGTGTCCTCAGTTTTTGTTTTTTTAGTGCTCCAGTCTATTGGTGCGCACTATACGTGGTAGGTTTCTTTTTGGTTTCCCTATTTCGGGTCTCACACCAACTACAAGTTCGTCGAAGACATCAGGCACACGGCCATGGAGGCGAGCTTTAACGGTATGAACAGAAAATGCGACGGAAAGATAAAGAACGAAAAAAAAAAACATTCGCGAAATGTGCACTAAGTTGCGCATGATCCGAACAAGCAAAACTATCTGTGTCGCTTCTAAATTGTTGTTATTCCAGGTTATGCTAGGTTATTTCTACTCTGACTATCAGCATGGGTAGGTTCGAGTCGAACCACAAAAAGTCAGAAACGTGACCCAGACGTCCGAACTCCACAGACAGAAACTCGCGGTGAAAGCAAGCATTCGTGCCTCTTTTTTAGGTGTGCGGGCTCATCATCGTTGGCGTACGCCTCCCATCACATCGGCGTCTTCTCGCATCCACCGTCACCTCGTATTTTCTCGTAGTCCACACTTCGGGGTTTTCGGGTCACTGCCGTCACTTCGCAGGCACTTGTTGTTGGGCAAGCTGTCGCCTGTCCTAGAGGACCATTATTCAGTAGTGAGATATACCCAATTTCTGAGACACAAATCCGTTTCTGATGATGATCGTTTTTTTTTCACTCGTCAGACACAGAAATGTTTTCTGAGTAGCTTTGCGTTAAGAAAATGTGAACATGCTGTATAAAGAGGTAAAAGCCTTTGCCCTAAGTAGCCATTCCTTCTCAGACAAGCGCATGGGTCCTGGCCATCCGTTTTATCTGCTTTTCGATGGAATTCTAGTCATTGTACTCACACAAAATGCCGGCTACAAGTTGCACTGGTCTTCCAGAGATGAACCTGAAAGCTGGGCCACCTGGGCCACAAAAGTAAGGGCTCCTAAGTTAGGTGGTCCGTTCATATGAAGCATAGTTTATGAGACTAAGCATAAATTAACAACTGAATATTTGTGAAGATACAACACATGAAGTCCGGAGACACCCCGCCCAGACAACCATTGTGCTGCAGTCGATAGCCTCCGTGATTGAAGAAATAGTCCCGCTAATCCACTCGGCAACGTTTAACAAAGACAGAGTCTATGACTCGTCCACCTCGTAACGCCAGCCTGTTGTGCGCGTCCATTAGTTCAGACTTATTTGCATCTGAGTCTGAGGAGAAAAGGCTGTGAAAATGTAAAGTTATATCCGACTACAGTTATTCTTGTATTGTACATTCCACCAAAAACTGAATGTTTCTCTAAGTGTGGTAGGACATCGCCCTGAAATTATCCAGAAAGGGCTTCAGAAGAAAGAATGTTCGAAATGTATCATTCTGTGCTACCATGCCTAAAGCCTCATTTCTTCACCCTAGTTTTTGTTGGTGCCTTTATTGCAACAATACCTTGATTTTATACTAAAGAACCGCGTTAAAATGAACTAAAAATCTGCATGCATGCCGTCGTTGGAAGCTTACTAGAAGATAGCCGCCATTCGGGGAATGCTTCACGCCAGGGGCGTAGGCAGAAATTTTTCCGATGGGAGGGGGTCGAGGCACAACCTTGGTCTGAAGTGGCGGCTGGGCTGGCAGATGCGGTTGAGCGTTATGTTGTGCCTTGTATATCATAGCTAAAGAAGAGTTTCGGAGTGGAGGGCACGGCCGCTGTGTGTCACCACCAGGCTAACGCCACTGCTTCACACTTCCACTCCCACGGCACATTGTCATATGTATACTCGAAGTGACTCCCACACTCTTAAAAAATGAAGTTACGTTCTCTTCATTTACGGAGGAACGGCGATGTCTTCATTGTTCGTCTATAAGTAGAGAAACGTTGCTCCCTTTGCCACGGAGAAACATGATCCTCCCTATGAAAATCAACATGGCTGCCCCGAGGTGAAGCGAGTACGCTTAGCAAATGCTACGATTCTTGACTGATAAAGGGTACACGGCACAAAAAGTTACCAAAAAACGGTCCCGCTGAGCTTGATATCGAACGATATGATTATAAAAACAAGCAGATGAACATGTGGCGATGAAAACATCGCAAAAGAGAACGACGGAGCAAGCAGGTTTCGTTTTC